AGATCGCGCCACCAGAGGCCATGGAAGACTCCGGGAACCACTCCCAGGAAAAATATGTCAAAATTTTGGGGAAATGGCATTTCCCAACATTAAAACCCGCCTGAAAATTCCAGTCTGGGGGGCTGGTCCATACTGTCTGGCACCGGAAATCAGTCAGGCCCAAATTCAGATCTCAAACCAGGTACAAATGACTCAGACCAGTTGCCCCAACATTTGGGAAGGGATCGGGGAAGTTCAGATTGTGTGAATAGTCCAATTGAGAGTTTGGGCTGTCTCAAAACTCAACCCAATGGATCTGCCTCCTGGGATGAAACAAAAAACTAAATCATGCAAACTGGATGATTTGGGTGACCGGACCCATATTGGTACCATCAAATTGGTTTGGCCCCAAGAATGTGGAAAAATTTGCAAAAATTTTTGATTTTTCCAAAATCTCAACATCCTCTACCCCCCAGACAACCAAATCCCATCGCAAACCCCAAACATCCAAACCCATGATACCTTCCCCATGTGATTTATCCCGTACTTAAGGCAACTGCCCTGCCCAGGGGGAGGGATTCATTTCTTATCTTCCACACTTTACACTTAATAAAATTGAATTTCCCATACAGCTTGCCTTGGCCTCCATTCACCTTACTGTTTAATAAAATTCTGCCAATTAATCTGATGAAGTGCGCCATCACCTAAGTTCTCATGCCGATGTTTGCTGACTGGATCATCTGGTCACTTGACCCCACCACATGGCAGCAGATTGTAAACATGATAAACTGCCCTGCCCAATGATGAACCCGCTGTCTCATTTATTACCATGTCCATTTAATGAGAACCCTCCCAACTGTCCTACTGCTGAGTTCTCCAAAACCACTCCCCAGTTGGAGCAACACCAGAGCAGCCCCTGCCCCACCACTTGTGGACTCAGGTCCACAACTGATCAGCTGCTGATGGCTCAGCCTGCCTGTGGGACCTGGAGCACCCCATCCAGGGGAAGCTCAGTCCCAACCCCTTTGTGGGTCACATTCCACCTCTGTTCTCGCCTCCAATTGTGTGGTGGCCCCTGTGCCATCCCTCGCTGGCGTGCAAGCTCTCCTGTACTTGAATCCAAAGTCCAGCAACCATGAACCCTGGAGGAGTTGTTGTCCTCTCTGCCTCTCCTGCCCTTGGGGGTTGCCCCCGCAAGACTTGCAGTTGCCCCCATTGCAACCATCTGGTTTGCCTTGGGGGCCTTCAGTATGTTAACGAACTTTGACTTTCCTCATATCCCCAATAGAACTCCACTCTTACTAGTCACTCAGACTGCTATGCCTATGGCATTCTGGGCTCTCCACTGAATGCTCATGCACCCTGACTGGGAGCCCAGTCTAATTCTTATCAGCTGAATCCATGACAGCAGCTTCATAAACATAAAAAAAAGTAGCAATGCTTTCTTTACCAGGGATGTATTTGTCTTTAAAAAGTGGTTTTAAAGGGCGCTGCTCAAGCTATTTGAGATGGGATAGAGCGCTTGCTAGTTGCTTTTCTAGAGCAACTAAACATGATTACATGTGAAGAGGAAAAGTGAAGGTGTTCCTCACTTTCAAAGCCTCCATTATTGACAATTTTTGAGGTGTACAGGGTACCCCTGTGTGAGCACCATTTTTTAATATCTAGCTTATTTTTTTCTCATTGGTGCTTATGCCTCTGTATCCCACAAAAGATTTAATAAAATTTTAATGAATATGTACTTCTAAAAACTTGGGTTTTATGGTTTTTATTAGCAGCATGAGGAAAGTAAGGAAAATAATTCCCTCAATATCTGACCAATCTGTGTTTAAACAGTATTGAGGGTTGGAGAAAAATTTACTTTAAAGTTCAGAATGGCTTGTTACCATCCACATTAGAAGATATGAGATTATAGCCTATCAAAGCTTGGAATACTCACTTTGCTTAGGCTATCCAATGGATGGGAAAATAGGTTGAGACAATACATACCCATGGGGTAATAATCTAATATATTTCAGCCAATCCCCACTGGCTAAAATTCTTTTACTTTGAGAGACCTCCGCCACCCCTATAAAAGGGGGTGGTCCCCTCTTAAGTGTTGGAATGGAGTTGGACGATGTAGAGGGAGAAACTGCCATTGGCCTCCCCAAGGTCTGCCACATGGTTGGAGTAATCCAACTGCTCAATTTTGCGTTGTTTGCCCTCATAGTATTCAAAATTGTGTTACCCAAATTAGCAGGGTTCCACCAAGAATCAACCAGAGTCTTTTAGTTGAGACTACATTAGTATCTTTTAAATTGGTTAGTTTAGCATCATAAACTTATAAATGGCTGACATTTCCCCTTTTTGGCTGAATTTGACTCAGGACATTATTATTTTTCAGTTGTGAGGGCAAATGTCTGACACTTGCTATTCATTATCTCAGTTTGGGGCATTGGTGCACAATGCTAACAGATTCATAATCATCTCCTACCCAAAGTTTGTCTACCAGGATTGAACTTGGGAGGCAATGGTAGAGTCCAATTGTAATGAGAATTCAGTGAGTTGTTGTGTACATAACTGCAAAGGTTTTAGATTAAAACATTCACTATTTTATAGTATAATAAAAAGTGTTATAAGTAACAAGTGAAAATCACATATGTTTTAATGGTAATCAGTATATCATTACAGCTGAGCAATTTAATATTTATTGATTTGAAGTTTTTGAAGGTTTTTGCCAAGTAGCTAGTTGTTTTTGGTTGATTAATAAGCTTGATGGCTTTAGTAAGCAGTTAGTGGTTGGTTGCCTTAATAAGTTACTTGGTTTTGGTAAGTCGTTGGTGGTTTCTGGTTTTTTGGGCTAGTTTAGTTTGGTTTAACAAGCAGTTTTTAATTGGTTGATTTGGTATGTTCAATGTTTTTAGATAAGTGGTTTAATAGTTTATATATATTTAACTAAAACTTATATTGCAAATAGATTAAAACTAAAAAATGATGAGCCAACGTAGTTATCAGATTCATCTAAAAAGTATCATGTATCTGCATTTGCTTTGGGTATGTATGGACAATAAGATGTTAAGTTCTGCATTTTGAGTGGTTCCCAATTAAGTTCAATTTAAGCACTTGCACCTTGGGATTTGATAGATTGACTATTAATCATCTATTTAAATTTAAATTTAAATTAACTGCTATTTTGATTTTTCTTCTTATAACTTTAAGATACTGTTTAAGTTGTTTCCATTAATTCATAAAGTATTTGTGTCAATTTGGGTTGAAATTGGTTCACTAGTTTAAAAGATGATATGTCACTTATATACACATAATGATTTTTAAATATAGAGATGTTTTTGTTATCAGAATGGTAGCATTTTAATTATCCAATGGTTTTAATTTTATTGGCTGAGTGGTTGGTGCTTTTAGTCAATTTGATAGATCTAATGGTTTTAGGTAAATAATTGGTAATTTACTATTTTGATATTCAAATTAGGATATAGCTAAGTATTAATAAGTTTTTTATTTGACAAAGCTTGATTTTATTTTGCCAAGAAGTTAGTAAAAATAGGTTGTTTCTTACATACAATTGGTGTTAGCTGAGTGGTTGATAGGTTTTGGCTGATCCAATAGGTTCTTTGGCTTTGTCAAGTAGTTTGATGGTATTAGAGTAATTTGATAGATTTAATTGGTTTTGGATAATTAGTTTGTGGTTTTTGATTGATTTGATAAGTTCACCTGTAGTAGGGTAAGTAGTTGATGATTAATTAGTTTGAAATATCCAATGGCAATGACTAAGCAGGTTAATATTACCTATAATTAAAGCTTAAATTAATCAGTTCACATTATCTGGTTATGAATAAACCCAACCAATGATGGTAATTTTGATAGTTGTAAATATTACCTGTTAATAGTCAGCTTACCTTTGGGACCATCTAGTACTAAAAAAAATAGTCAGCTTACCTTAAATAAAAAATATTATCTAGTATAATACCTACAAAAAATGCTGGATAAGATAAACTATTGAGATGATAAAAACTAAAGATAATATAAAAACAACTGTCCTTCAATAAATTGATAGAATTTGATCTTTAGTCTCATGCTGTAAAAGGATGGATTATAAATTCAAAATTTGTAAACACAAGCAACACTAGATAAATTAACTAATCTTTAGATCTATCAATATATTAACTAGTGGGTCCATTAATAAAAATGGGCAAAGCTGTGACTACAAACTAGTAGGCTAATATAACAATGCCTAACTCTTACTTATTTGAAAGCCTTATATAACTGAATAATCCTCCATGCAGAAAATGCTCAATTAATAACTTGCAGTAAAGGTATAACATACATTGAAGAAAATACAAGCCTTCACCCCAAGATTCATTACTTACAACTTTTGGTTCTAAATTTTGGTGACCTTAACCCTAACTATCAGAAGAGAGTTTTTAGTGTGAACACATTAAGAAACAAGCTTGCCACAGTTGCTTTGCCATATTGTGCCAAGGATAGGGTTGCTTTATACAACATTACTATTGATCTTAGAATGCATAAAATGCCTGAAGTAGAAATTCTACAGCCTTCATTGTATAGTGCAATTTCAAAGGGGTCTGCACAGACTGAGCTTGTGAAAGTTGATACATTTCAAGATGCTATAATAAAAGTATACTTTATATTAGGGCTATATTAGACACATACATTCACCTATATGTTCTAGAGCCTGACTATAGGCCTAAAGTTCTGATAATGAAAGGCAAAAAGTGTAAGGCATATATTGATGTTTTTTATCAAGAAAGTAAAAGTTTAATATTTGTTGACTATAAAGTAAGACTTAAGCATGGCGATGGAGATTTTATAGGAAAACTGAATGGTGAAAATGTATCAATTTATAAATTATTGAAATAGAAGTATGAAAACATCGATGAATCCCCTTGGGTTGGGACCATCTAGTACTAAAAAAAGAAATAGAAGTATGAAATTTGCTTTTTAGATATAGTGTATATATATTTGCTAAAGTAATAGATACTAAAAAATTTTAGTCAAAAACTAAATGCATTGTCCGGGAATCAGATCCCGAGTCGGCATATGGCAGGCGGCCATTATACCACTAAACCAACAATGCTTCTCTACACTTCTTTTAAACAATCTAGGTAATACCTAAGCAATTTGTACAATACTTTGTTGCACTAATGTAATAAATGTGGTGTCCATAAAATGTAACACATCAATCTTCTATATAGAAATTAAGAATAAGTATTAGCACGGATACAAGTCTGATATATGTATATATTGTTACTTTTTAGTCTAGACAGTCTCTTTTGCTAAATTCTTTGCATCTTTTTTGCAATTATATTATAAAAACATAGTATGCAGTTGTAGCTGAGCTAGATGATGCCTCTATACTATAAATGATTGAAGATATAAAGATGACAAAGTAAAAAATTGCTATCATTTTTTTTAAATGATTTGATTAGGTTTTACTTAATATATATAGTACTTATATATGTAATCTTATTATAAATTTTAAACCTAGAATATAATAGTATTAATTATGAATGACCTAAAATACAAAAAAATCTGTGAATCTACTTAAAACCCAAACTACCTCTAACTAAAGGTTTTTTAATAAAAAGAATAAATAAAATAAACTTTCATACCTTCATTTTAATTTTAATTTGAAACATCTTATCAATAATTATTCAAAAATAGATTATAAGTATTAAATTTGTTAATTTCTGAAGGAAATTATTTGATCTATACATATCTATAAATTAGATGTGAATTTTACAGATTAGTATAAATTAAGGTAATATATATAAGTGTGGTTAATCATTTTCATTTATCTCTAAGTTTTGAGATATTGTATTTATATACTCACTAATTTATTTTAATTTTATTTGAGTGGGCCAACCTGAGACAATACTACACCAATTAATAGAAAATCAAATGAATGGGAAAGGATGATAAAATCTGGAAAACCTCCATGCACAGCGTATGATAGGCCAGGAACTCCATGGACTGCCTTTGCTATTTGTTATCTTGGTTCAGGGCATTGGTGTGCAATGCCAACACAGCCATAATTGTCCCTTACCCAAAGTTCCTACACCAGAATCAAACTTGGGATGGCAGTGGTAGAGGTCCCTATTCTACCACTGGGGTATCCTCCCCTATACTCACTAAATTATGATATTGTCAATTTATAAAGTTTGGCTATCTTTGGTTGCCAACAGTTATCAAGGCAATATATAAAAATTAGAACAACTTTATTAGTCAATGATTATTATTTTAATCTAATTTATAGTAACATTAATTTAGTTAAGATAAAAAGTAATCAAGGCAGGTCAACCTTGGAACAAATATATCACACCAAGATTTTTATAGCCAGTACAGATTTAGAAGATGTTGAACAAAACCTGAACTAGGGCAGAAGCAGGAATTACCATGCCAGGCTAACCATGTAACAATTGTGATTGCACATGAATCCCATAAGGTTGGGAATTAGAGATTCATGTGTGTCAATAGTTGTAATTCTGTTATTCCAAGTAGGATTTTCCTATTTGGGTTGATAATGGAGTAAATTCAAATAAATTAGTTTGTTTGATTGGTTGTTTGTTCTGAGGTTCCCCTCCATTTCTCCACTGAGTTGCCTGGTTGCCATCAATTCTGGAGGCTTTTGCGCCCCTCATTACCCACAATTCTTCTATCCTTTTTTGATAGTATTTCAAAGTAAGTTAAGCCCCAATGGGCCCTCATTTTGGAATTCTATTCCAACTTTGAGTTCACTTCTTCCAATAAAAGGCTGCTATTCACTAATTCAATTTAAGTAATTAAATTATTTAATGTGAGTTGTTGGCCAGCAGATGGCAGTGCTCCAGGGAAAGGGGGTGGATGCGCCAGGCTCCTTTTTGGGAGGTCTTGCCTGGCTAGTAGGGAGCCAGAGTGGCCAATGTGACAGAGGCCGGTTAGCTGCACCTTGGCTCGTTGACCCCATGAATGGATAGAGGTTTTGGGAGGGACCTCTGCCTGGGGTCTAAGGTGACAGAGGCTGGTGCACCGCACCTCAGCACAGCATGCCTGGCAGGGCTATCCAATTGAATGGGACCAATCAGAGTTGGTACAGCCACATATGGGGGTGAGTGGTGTAGGGCCAGTGGTGACTGGGCCTTGGGAGCCCAGTCTTGACAAACCCCTTAATTTAGTCAAGATGAATAAATTCATTCTTTTACTTCAGTCTATCAATTTTATAGGGTTTATATATACATATAAAAGTTTATCCTTATTAAGTTTCTTAACTAGACAATTATCTAAAAATTTTTACACCTTTATATACCTTATAAGGCTCCTATGACCTTTCTTGCCATTTGACATAATGCAAACTTAAACTGAAAGAGAGTCACCTAAGTTTTTTGGAAAAAGGTAAGTAATAAAATCCTTGAATTACATTATGAACAATACAATTGGTAAATTTATAATCTACCAAGTTTGAGCATTCCAAAAATAATACATACAAAGCAATAAAATGCAAATAACATACCCCAACATACTGAGGTGCAGCATGACTTCATATTCTGTCAGGCTCTATCACCTGGCAGCTTTAGCAGGGTGCTCTTGGATAACATATAACCAACCCTAGATTTAGTGGCTTGAGGTATGGAAAGCAGTCTACTGTGCCAGTCTCTGGTCATAAGTGCCTGCTGTGCAAGATGAGATAATGCCCTTTCAACCTCCTAAGGTCACTTTTGAAGAGAATTCCAGGCACTCATGGCCCTGGTCAGCTCCATTTCATCCTGTTATGACATCTTGATCATTATGTGCAAATGCTATTGCAGCAATTAAAAATTGGTTTTTATCTTATGCACCAACTTCACTAAATAAGCTAATTTAAATAAATATATTAATGATATTATTTCCAAATGGGAGCTCATATATATGGAAATGGGCTTTATTTCGGGAAAATAGACAAGAGAATCTCAGGTGAAAAAATGGGGAACAGATTTAACTGATAGATAATAGCCTAGCAAGTGCTATGAAATTTATTAATAATTTAAGTGTAAAGACCTAACAAATGTTAGCATCACAGCAACCCACTAACTGGTGAATTGTGAGCCTTAAATTTAGAAAATCTGCTGGAAATACTTATATTTATTTAACTTTTTTTACTAAAAGTATTAACTTGACAACTATGTTTGGAGAATATGGGACCACAACCATTAGCATATTAGATTTTCTAAGTCCCAACCTTAAGAAATTTTCATGTATTATTGCTGATAGTTACAATACCCTCTCAAAAGCAGGAATCTTGGTGCATGTAAACCAAGACTGTTGAGGCATGGAATTTCAATCAAGTGATTTACTAATGGGTGACTTTGTGGAAGGTAGATTGAAGGTAATCAATTAGAAGCCAGGTGTCCCAGAAAGCGTCAACTTTTCTTCTGGAGATCTCCTGGAAGTTGCAAGAGGCCTCAACTGACAGAAATCCAAATAGCCACACTAAACTCCCCATCCTCTTTGCTGAAAAGCCAACAAAAACATCAAACAAGGTTCAAGGGCCCATGGCAATGCTTGGGAAATTACTGCAGGACTACCTTGTGGGCTGCATGGCAATCACAACCCACCAAGAGAAAGGCAATCTGAAATAAAGTAATAGATGAGGTTCACTGCCCTCACTCACCATTTTGCATATTTCAAACCTAAACAAAAAGAGTATTGCTTTGATCATCCAGAAAAATAGGTAAGAAAATAAATACCAAAGTTATGGCACAAATAACACTAAAAAGGTAAGTTTAAATTTCGCTGAGGCTTGGCATACCAAAAATATAGTACACTAAGCAACAGTATGCACATAATATATACCACCAGGCCACAATGTGGCAGGCATTCCTATACCATCAGCCTCTATCATCTGTAGGCTTCACAGGGGTGCGCTCAAATGGTGCACAACCAAACCTAAATATAAACACAAGATGATTTTTGGCAGGCATTTACAACGTTTCAGCCTCTGTTCATCAGTGCCTGTTGCAGAAAATAGGTTAATACCCTTGTAACCACCTAAGGTCTCTTTTGGAGAGGGTTCCAGACACTCACAGATCCTGATCAGCTACATTTCATCCTGTCATAATATCTTGATCATGTGCACAAATGCCATTGCTGCATTCATAAAATTTGGCTTTTTCATCATATGCTAACCACATGAATATATTAAATTAATAAATGAATTTATAGACATGACTCCTAAGTGGGAGTTCAAATATCTGCAATTGAACTTTTATTTTAAGGGAAATAAAGGAGAGAATTTTAGGTGAGGAAAGTGGAACAGATCCTCAACTAATAGGTAATAGCCTAAAAAGAGCTATGAAATTAATTATAACTTGGGTGTAAGAGCCTAGTCAATGCAGGCATCCTAGCAATATGCTAGATGGTGAATAGAAGAGCCTAAATTATAGAAAATTTACCAGAATATTTAATTGAATCTAATACTATCCTAAGTATCAACTTAACAAAAAAGTGTTGTTAGAGCATATGTGATTGCAACCATTGATGTAGTGGATTTCCTAATTTCCAACCTTAGAAAAGCCCATTTATAATTGCCAATTGTTACACTTTGTTATAAAAAATAACTCATAAACAGTTTTATTTTTAACCTTATAAAAAGCTTAAAATATGACAAACAAAGATATATAAAGTTATATAAACTTAGAATTACAAATATACATACAAACATTTTTTATCTATTTTACAATATTTAGTCTAAAATTATTTTGCAGGAAAAGCTCCTATACCCAAAACTCTTTTTTTGAAAATCTTATTTTAGGTGCTTTTATTTGATATTTGTGATCTTTTTAATTAAAAGCATCTACTTCATTATTCCTTTTTTAACTTTTTAATCATAATTAAAGATAAAAAATATATTCTGATAAGTAAAAATTAATATATATTCTATCCTTATAATTATTATAAGATCATTATATTTTTCATTAATTATAAAAACATAGCTCATATACTTTAACATTTTTTCTAATCCTTATTAATATGCTTTGTATATCTTATATAGATTTATACTATCTAGAGTCAGTACTTCCAAACTATATACCTTCTTTCTATTATATTAAAAGTAACTGAGGT